ATGCAATACAATTGGATTTGGAAAGAAATACATAAGATTTAGGTCCCTCTGCACAATATCCAGACAGGCAATATTCCTTCAGAAACTCCCAAACTTGCTAAGGCCGTGCACTGCTGTGTGTGCAGCGCATCCTGGAAGGAATTTGGCAGCCAAGAGTCACCACCTTATCTGCCCTCCTGTGGGTCTAATTGTGGCACGTGTGTAGAAATGAATTAGTTGATGGTCAGACACCTCCATTAGTAGACATCTTGCACTTTCTCCAGGCTTTAATGCTGGTAGCATTCATGTTAAGTAGCACAAGAGCTGAGTGCTGCCAGCAACTGGAGCAACAGTGCCGATGAAAATTAAAACAAATGCCAGTTGTCTTACATGAAGAATCAAAATGCAAACTGGATGTTCTGTTGCAATTTGGCATAAAATGAGCTGGAACAAATCCTCGGCTGCAGCATCACCACAGAAGTCTCCAGCCCCATCTGGCTGGGTGTGAAGGTATCTGTAAGCCCATGGGGCTGGGAACTTCGGGTCTCTCAGCATACTTGCCTTTTTTCCAATATCCCTACCGTTGGTCTGTGGGAGACTGTCTGGCCTGGAAGTGGGTTGGCTCTCCTGAATGTCTTTGTCTGGATATGCTTGTTTGAAGAAAAGGAGGAAGGATGAAAAAAAGGGTAAGGGATATATGTTGTGCCACAGGGGGAAGACTGGCAGGCCAGAGACAAGTACCTCCCAACTGCACTGTACTCATACCCGAGGAGGAGAATCACCTCTTTAATCAGCAGATTCCTGTGCTCAGCAAATGCCAGTGAGAAATTAAACACACATATTTAACAGCTGACGTGCTGGAGAGAAAAAGAAAGAGGTGAATTGTACATTTCTCTTCAAGGATAATCTCTCTTCTGGAAAGCAAGTTTAAGTTAGGTTTTAGACATCCTGATGGGCTGAGGAAAGGAGGAATGGGGAGAAGTTCTCTGACCTGTGTGACACAGGAGGTCAGACTGGATGACCGGATGGTCCCTTGTGGCTCTAGGCTCCATCGATCCATGAAGCAGTCACCTTTTCATTTCAGTAGTGTTTTAGTCAGTTAACTTAGCTCATTTAACAATATTTTCTTGGTACCTGTGTGACTCACTGATAATGCGTACTTGAGAAAGCATCGGTTGTTTGCGAAGCCTGGCTTGCTTTTTCATTTTGGCAGAATGCGAAGCTGAAAACAGATGATTGATGGCTTTTTCTGTTTATTTTCTAAAAGATGTCAAGCAGCATATTTACTGACTCGACTCCTGCTGCAACTTGTTAGTTTGAGCAGTGTAAACACATCTTAACAACCCTTAGTAATTGTGGGAGGAAAGACATCATGAATATAATGAAAACTGACAGCATTGATTTCCATTCCCGTAATTTTTTTACGCTTATAAAGACAAGCACAGTATTTTGCTCAGATGTTTTGGAGGTTCTAAAACTTCCAGATAACCATTTATTGGTATTGATATTTCAAATATACCACTTGTTTGGTAAAAAAAAAAGTTAATATTTCATTCTTTTTCTCTCAAATTACTTCATAGCTCCTTGTTTATACAGCTATGTAAATGGTTGTTATCTATAACATGTGTTCGCTAGATTTTGGAAAGTGAAAGGTCCTTAATTAAAGAGAAAAAAGACTAGCTAATCTGGTAACTTACAGATGGAAAAGGAAGCTTTGGATGAAGCCTAAGTAAAATGTAGGGAAGCATACGCCATCCAAATGAAATTGCATGTATTGATTTATTCTATGAATAAGTGAATAACAACAAAATTAGAGAGATTTGTCCAAGGATGCAGAGTGCAATTCTCTACCACCTTTTCTTGTCAATAAATCTTATAGGAAAATAGTGACTTTTAAAATATTGTCAACAACTGTACGAAGAGTAATCAAGAGTAATTTACCTGTTTTTAGCAAGTAATAAATAGTTTCAGAGTAAACTGCTAAATAGTAAATAGCATGGGGAATTTCGTGCAAACTTGAAACTGGAATTCATTGAGCCTAATCTGTCCCACATTTTTAGTCATTCCTGCCAAGAAACATCATTCACAAACTTGCCACACTCACCTCAAAGGGACATTTACAGTTTTCATCTCTTTTTCTTCCTGAACACCCTAGTCCTATTGAAGAAACTATTCCTGAACATTAGTCCCATAACAACTTAAATCCTTGCAGTTTCTGGCTTAAATAATTTGTCATGACTGATTTATTTTTATGCCAGCATCGCCCGGATCATAACCAGGTCTTCTCCTTCCCAGGTGTTCCCACTGTGGGAACACTGTATTCCCGCATTGCCTGTGTGCAACCACTTCTGATCGCCTCTTTCATCCTTCATTTTATTAGGCTTATTATGCCTTTCAAACAAACACACCAAAAAAACCCAAACTCTCCATTTGATGCCATTTCTGATTGAAATTCAGAATTCTTATACTTTCAATGCCATTTCTGATCAAAATTCATCAATTCAACACAGATGATCAGAACTGCAATTCCTCAGTGCCTTGCTCAATGGAATTAATACTTCCTTGAGACCATGTTTCTCTTCGTCATGATCTCATCACACTGGTGGTTTAGGATAACCTCACAGTTAGCTAGTACATCTATGGTCTTTCTCCTGCTCTCCCTACTGATAAGAGTATCTGTTCAATACCCATTTTTAGGCTATCTTGAGCTTATTCCAAGTGTGGAATAAGTGAACTTACTCCAATGCAAAAAAAGCAACATCAGATTCAATATAATTGTTAGAATGACTTTCTTACTAATTTCAAGGAGCCCTTCTAGGAGGTAATCTTTTTAATAGTTTATAGCTTATTTAATTTCATTAGGAGTGAATGCAATTATGAATGCAATTATTTTGTTTACTTGGTTAGTGGTAAGGTCTATGAAGATCAGGCTGCATTTGTAATAAAATGAGTTGTTTATGCTGAAATCAGAAGTGCCAGTCGTACTCTGTATTAATATCACTGATTTCTTCCTACGACTCATTAACATTGGTGATACTGATAGTGATGTATCAGCTGTACGGATAGTACTTGCTGTGTGTTCAGGGAGGGGAGGACCCTGGCCGCTGGAGGAAACAGCAGTTTCAGTCCAGGATAAGCCTAGAAACCACTGTTTAAGCCTGAATCCAATAGTAGTCTTTATACTACAACCTAAATAATAGGGGCTGGACCAATCCTTTCTAATCTCACTTGGCATAATACATTAATATAATTGTGGTTATATTCATATAATTGCTCTACAGTATCAAATTTGCGAATTCAGTCATCGTGAATGTAGATTTGTGTCCTGGTGTGTGTTTTGTGCTTGGTCCATTTTCATACAATAACTCTTTCTTGAGTTAGATTGTGGTTTTGGAAATATCATTATTTCAACATGCCTGCTTATGTGGTCTATTTTAATAAGATTTGAAAAGGTTTTTTCAGTTACTTCAGTAACTAATTTGTCTACTTTGTTTTTTGCATGAAAACAGTATGTTTTTATAGTCATCTTTAATCAGATGTTTACTGGAGGTTCTAATCCAATGTTTCTTCAAAAATTGCATTAAAGCTATATATTTCATCAAGGTACTATGCATCAGTGTTAGTGCTGAAGAACTGGACAAGGTCACCTGCCTTTAAGATGCCTGAAAAGTTTTTGGGCTTGCCAGAAATGTTAAGCGTTAAAAATATTTAGTGCATGCAGTTTGATATTCTTACTGACACCAAGGAGATTATGTAAGTTTTTTAATTAATCTGCTAATTTTCTATTGCATAAAGTGGGAAAGAAGTGTCAGCAGAATTTTCTATATAGGAAGATGTGTATTCATGTGATTTGCTATTCATGTGACCTATGAATATGCACAGAAAATGAGAAAATAGGATTCCTGAGATTTGCACTCACCCTGTGTTATCAGTTTCATAAGTCCTCTGCAAACCATTAATGTGACCATACTTTATATAGGATTAAATTGTACATCATCATTTCTGCCCCATGATTTATGCTTAGGGACAAGAGCTTTGTTAAGTAAACAAGCTCAGATAGCTAATACTGAAGTTATTCCTAATGATATAAATTATGTAGCTGGAGAAATTACTTTCACTGGTTAAACTATGATTGTAAAAAATCTCAGTTGGTCTCTTCCCTTGTCTCCCATGGCTCTTCCTGGAATCTAGGCCTATGAATTTTTTTTAATTGAAAACTAAACTGAGTTTAATTGCCCTGTAAGAATTTTAGTTATATTTGTTTTACCTTTTTTTGTTTGCTTTCTTTCTTAAGTCTGCTCTATAGAATGAGTGATCCTGATGTCATTTGTAACTTCCCATTTGTCCTTGTTTTCTTTTATGTGGAGCTTTTAGTAGGCTTGTTTCAATTCTGTTATAACATCTTTATTTTATAGTGCTACTTTTCACTATGGTACTGAAAAGAATGCAGATTCACTCTTACTGCTGAAGAGCAGGTAGAAAATTAGCTATTTGAATAATTATTGTTTTGTACTTTTCTTATTTTTAAATACACCTAAAATGTAGGGTCTTATTTAGATGAAACATTTGGAATTTTTGACTGCTGCAAAATGCATGAATCTTGTTGATGTCTGTAATGAGTCATCTAATGAGAATGGCTTTGTACTGATGGTATAATAACAAAAAAGGTCTCCTGCCTGCTGCCTTTGTATATCTGACCTTGAAGAGAATTAGAACTTGCTTGTTGCAGAAGTTGAGCATCTAATACATTGATACACCTGTTAGTTCTCGCATATTAAATCAGATAATGTTTATAATGATAAGTGATTCTTTTGTGACTTAAATATTTTCTCTTTCTAGTGATCTGGTCATTCAGCTGCATTCACTTATATTAAATGATTGTCCTTAACACGTGAAATTGCTTATACTTCAGAAAATTGTAACTTTGCACCCTTCACATTCTTTTCTGACATCATTTTCTCTTACTGTTGAATATTATTTGTAACTAAAGCAATTTTGGTTTGCATTTTATATTCATATAGAAACCATGAACCAAGCAACACCTGCTAGAAAACTGGAAGAGGTTCTTCACCTTGCAGAGCTCTGTATTGAAGTATTGCAGCAAAATGAGGAACATCATTCAGAGGTGAGGCCGTAACTGCATTTGCTGCAGAGAACGGTTTGTTCCTAGATTTTTTTCTCCCCTGATGCAAGGCAATTCTGTCAAGAAATATTTTAGCTTTACTTTCTGACATATGTTTAAGGCAGTTCACATTTACAGAGGAATAAGAGACTTGAAGCTTATGAAAAGTGAAGTGAAATAAAACTCTACTTGAATTCGCTTGAATGAACTGTAGGTTTAGAAATCAAAATTAAAGAGCATAAAATAGAGAAAGCATCTTTGTGCTGGAGGTGGTGAAATGGTATGGAAAACATTCATAGCCTTATACAGTTGTTCCTTCCAACTTTTCACCTCTCATTCAAAATAGAAAGAAAATATAACTGAATGCTAGTTTTCATCATGCTATGTAGATCTTGATTTTAACATAAAAATAATGATGGTTATAATGACCACATTCATATTGCTCTTCTGTTGATTGGAAAAGTACTGTGTTTAAACTTGTACCTTTTAAAATGGCATTATAATGTAGAAGAAATAAAAAAGAACAATTTCATGTTTCTTACTGTCAAGTCTTTTGCTTCCTGATACGGACACCATAATATTTAGAACATTTAGAATTATATCACCTTTTATATTAAGGAATTACTAAAGTAAACTTGACCAAGTACACACAATTGTGTATATTATTAACATTTACTTAATAAATACAGTTTTCTAAGGTTCAGGAAATTGTTTTTAAAATGTTCTCAAAAAACTCAGTGTTTTTGAATTTTTGGGAAAAATATGCAAAGGGATAAACATAATTTAGTATATATAGTTATAAATATGATAATTCAAAACATCTGGTTTTATATCACACTATGGAATCTAGTTTTTAGCTTACATCTGTCAAGTGTGAACTTGTTACAGATGTTTTATCTTATACTGAAGAAACAGCTGTTTCAATGATTTGGAATGAATTCCCTGGAGGTCCTGTTCTAGACTACTGTTGCCACTGTGTTACTCTATAATGATTACTTAATAAAATGTATATATTGTTGCCTTTGTCTTTTGAGGACCTGCATTACTGTAAGAATATTAGACTTCTGTGGAAAAGAACACAGAAAAACAGATGAAATGATACTTGGATGATTAAACGTCTCTGTTCAAAGATTACTTTCTGTATTACTTATTTGGACTCAGAGATGTAGTATTTTTCAGAAGGATATATATATTCCGTATGCCTTCAGAAAAATCAATTCAGCAAAAGTTTTCAAACTAACCTAAGACAGCTTGAAAAGAATAAAGATAATTTTAAGATTATTTTCCCCTTCATTCATGTAATAAATGTTCAATTTTACTGAAATTATAAAGCATGCAGAATTTCAGTATTAAAATATATCTGAGAACAAGATCAGAAAATTATACCTTTCCTACTCAAAACTGAAGATTGAGTATAGTAACTTCACATCATAATGTTAAGCAAATGTTCCATGTTTGATGGTGCAGTTGAATAAAAGGATCAGTAATCTCTACAATTATTTTTTTTTTTTTTAATTCATAACACTTCCAAATTTCTGGGATTCCCAAAGGGAAGAGAGGTATGTGATTCCTGATGAACTAAGCATTACTTTTCACCGTTTATGGCATGGAACTGTGCATTGAATGTGTAGCATAAATTATTCTGATGATTTCTTGTGTTGTATTGCCACATTTGTGTGTCTTTCTAGAATCTAAGAATTTGAGTCTTCCTTTAATCCAGTCGATGTTTTTGTTCTCTTAGAGTCTGTGTCACCAATTGCGAATTGCCTTTAGCCTGTTTTCATATTATCCATAATGACTGAACAACTATCTTAGCTGTAGTATTTGTTTTTCTATTCTTCTTCCTTGCTTCCTAAGCAATGATGGGTAGTTCTTGAGAGGGTCAGAAGAATTTCTGTCTGGGTCCAAAGTGTCATTTGCAAAGGGGAAAAAGATGGAAAGAAAATGTGCTGGGTTTCTGTTCTTGGTTTTGCTTTGGTTTGAGTTTTTGGCAATATTTTCTGAAAAGAGTTTTGCTTGCCTAAAAGGGACACCTGCCAATGCCTGTACACATTTCATTTCTTTTCTTCCTTCTTTATTTCTTTGCATTTAGTTATTTTCTAGGGTAAGGAATCTATTGCTTTTAGAGCTCCCATTTAAACAGGATTTACTAATGAGAACCTTCTTCCAGTTTGAGGAAAAAGACTCCATTTAAAACTCTTGCCAAAATTTTTGAAGCCTCATCTGTCCTTTTCACTGTGGTGTCAATCAGCATCCTTCAATCCTGACATCGCAACACACAAAGAACTTTCCAGTAATAGCAGAGGATGCTCAACATCTCTTTAAAACCTCTTGCCAGGTCGTCTTTTCTCCATTTGCCCCATGTCAAAAACAATTGCAGACAGTCATCAGAAAGTCCGGGATGCAAAAGCATTTTTATAGACCACTTTTCAGAAGTTGTCCTTTATTTGATGCCTTTCAGGCCCAAGTACATCAATCTACATTACCTAGGACCTCGTTTCAGAAATGCAAGTGAAGATTCCTATGAATTTATTTGAAGTTGTGGGACCTTGGCACTTGTATAGATCAAGCTACATATGTCCCATACCGGTAACTCGAAACTATTCAAACCGAGATATTCAAAATGAGGGCCCTAAGTTTGAAAGCAAAGACATTTTCTTATCTAGTATGTGTAGGTATTTCTCACTGTCAGATATTTTTGTGAACTGTGAGCAAAACACTCTCAGCAGCATGTGATATTCATCCTATTTCATAAGCTCACTTCACCTTCATCTTTGACTCCAGGATCATACAGCTCCCTCTGATCCAATACGCAGCTTCAGTACTGACCTTTCAAAGCCTAGATTTAAGTGACAGTAAAAAGGTACAAGAGTTATACGTGAAGTACTCCTTAATGTACAGCTGGCTTTACTTGCTGACACACTATTTTTCACATATTTTTTCTCTTCTTTTAAGCTAGGATTACCTAAGAATCTACATTTTTACCAAAGAAAACTGAGTATTCCAACATATGTGAAGTTACTGAAAATTAACATAGACATTAGTGAATTTCTAAAGATGTATTTATAGCATTTGTGGAAGGAAAACTGGATGCCTTCCTCAGCAGATGCTAACATCTTTAAGGCAAAAATAGGAATTAAAAAGCTCTCTATATCTATTACAAAAACTCTTAGACTTCAAGGAATAAAATTTCACACTAAAACCATACCTTCTGATTAACAAATGACTGTAAAATATATTCACAAGAATTTATTTGAAAAATAAATTAATCTGATTACTTATAGCCTTAGAATTGAATGAAATAAAAAGAAGCATACACAGTAACTTTTGCAAGGATGAGGCCTTCATTCTTTGCTTTACCCTCTGGCAAGAAGAGCTGCAGGGATTTATACTCCTTTTTTGGTCTTTTGTGTTACAATTTTGTTCTGATTATATCATCTCTCCCAGCATAATCTATTTGATTTCTTACATTTTTGATGCAGGTTTTATAAAATATTTTCACATTTTTTACTTGGCCTGTTCATCCTCCCTAAATGAGATAGGACATGAAGTGACAAATCCAAATGTAGTTTGCCATAGATACAACGTATCTCTTTGCTTTATGACTCGCGTTTAGTAATTCTATTTTGTCATGTTTGCAGGCGTTCGCTTGGTGGCCAGAATTATTGGCTGAGCATGCAGAGAAGTTTTTGTCTCTGTATTCTGTTGATATGGATTCGGCACTCGAGGCACAGCCGCAGGACTCCTGGGACAGCTTCCCACTTTTCCAGCTGCTGAATAACGCCCTCAGAAATGACAGTAAGATCTTAATTTTTTTACTTATTGTCTGCATAAGATTTTTCAAGGTGCCCACACCTTAGAAATGTGTTTCTAAATAATATAATTCTCAAAATAAAAGTAACAGTGCCTGTGTTTATGGTATATATCCTGGTGCTCCATTTCTTGGAAGCTGAGCGGTTTATCTCTATCCTTGCACCATTTCAGTCCTTATTCTGGCAATCCCATAACCATTCAGTATTCACAAATTGCTCAGCTTTAAATCAGTTATGTTCAAGCAGTATAATATGTATTTCATATTTCATATTTAATCTATACTGCCTAAATAAAATTGTAGTTAATATTTCCTTCTAAGACTTCATGTAAACTACTTTCAGACTAGTTGTGTCTATAAAGGTATTGTAGGCTTAGCATGAATGGAGTAAGATACAGAGTGTTATTTTCACGCAGTGTATTGTTGTATCATTGAGTTGGGAGACCAAAATTTGAGATAGCCATACTATCTTGCTTTTATTCATCCTTGAAGAGAGATATTTTTCTTTTATACTATAATTGATGTCCTAGGCATGTTTTGTGTGAAAGTGGTTTTAATAATGGAATTAAGGAAATAACCAGTAAAACCAAAGAAAATTGATTAGGTGTTAATTTAAAAACATTGAATTGCACCCAACATTTTAAGGCATCATAAAGAAAAAAAAAAAAAGTGTGCTATGTTTTATATGTTTAATCGTATTCTATTTTTAAAAAATGAGAAAATTACCTTTTTTAAAAAAAAAAAATTATTTTGGAGATCCAAATGCTATGTTTATTGAATGATTCAAGTTACTCCCAAAACTGATTTTTTTCATTATAAATACAAGAAATAGTTTTTAACCCTTCCTGGAAAATTAATTTCATTTCTGTAGAAGTTCAATATCTTTTAAGAATTTTAGCTCTGTGTATGGACACTGCTTGACTGAAAGAATGGAAAATACTATTCAAGAGCTTTTCTCCAAGGTTGCATATATTGCAACCTATATTATTTAGCATTGTATTATTGTTAACCTTAGCTGCCAAGTGTTTATTGAAATACATAGGTCATCTCAGTATAGTACCTGTTGGCCACAGGAGTGTATCATGAAATGGAGCAACTAGCAAATGTACAATTCACTGTAACATGGTGGATGACAAAATTCATGGAGGGAAAGGGGCAAATGGACAAGGCCACTAGACTAAAGCTGAATCTTAAACAGGATTGTTGAAAATCACTGTTATTGCACCATGTTGGATGTGGTCTAGGACAGAGCAAAAGAACATAAACATCCAGTCTCAGAGGTCTCTTTTCATCAATTATGCTTCCATACCCTAACATTTAGGAATACATGAAATGCCATATTCCTGATGATTTCTTTCTTCATATGTTATCCTAGCGAAAGAAAATGTATCTGTTAGTGTTTCCCTTCATTTGTTTTTAAGATACTCATGAATGGTTCAGCTGGACCCTTTGTTGGACAAACTACTGCTACAGAAACATATTAAAATTGCAATGCTAGTGGTAATTTAAGCTCAGTTTAGAAGGCTGCTCAGAAGGGTGAAGGAATTGTTCACTCTCAGTGCAGATCTCATAAGAGTTAAACTCCTGCAAAGTGGATTCTGCATTACTTTAAGTAGGTGTCTGATCATCTAAATTCCAGATTAAAAATCTGAAGCCTATATTCCGGTGTCTTTCCTACCATCTTACATTTTCTGTTCAGGAAGCATATCCCTAGCTGTGGTGTTATGTGCACTTAAAACAATTACTTGGTTTCTGAAAGCTGTGGAGGTATTTTACAGTAGTCTGACAAGAAGGATTTGTGGCACCAGTTTTAACCACATTATTGTGCCATTTGTGTTCCTTTGCACTTTAGTTCTAACGTGAGAGAAGTGCTAGAAACAAGAATTATCTTCATGTGCAAAGAGGTTGCTGGTAGCCTACTGATTTTTCTTTCCTTAAAAGATGAAATGGATAATAATGCTAAGTGATTAAAACAGACTTAGGAAAGACATTTTGTGAAAACCTTGTGTCAAAGCAATTATTAGAAAGATTGTAAAACTTTAAATGAAGGATGCGAAACGATTGCTGTATGAAATGTCACACCTGTATACCAATTTCAGTAATTCCCTAATGGTAATAGATACAGTAAATGACAGCTTCTGGCAAGTGAAAGCCATCTGGAAAATTATACACTTTTTTTTCCCCAGAACTATTGGAAAGCAACCATGGAAATTAGTCGCCTTTTAATCGGTGGATATGTTAGCAAGTGGCAAGTGACCATTCTACCAAGAACTGATTCCCAAGTGGAACATACCTCAGTGCTTATTCTTTAATTAACAGCCTTTTCACCTTGCAAGTGCATTAAAGCCATTAGGAAGAGCTCCCCATGCTCATATAATCAATTTTACAGTCTTCCAAAATGAAATAAATAATTCTGGCTTTACCCTAAGTGAAAACCTTTTCCTGAAAACTATCACCTTCATAAAGATAGATTTAGAAAAAAAAAAAAACTAAAAAGGGGAAAAACTGGAATGTGGTCTCATGAGGATAAAAAGGCTAGTGTTAATAATTAACAAGGAGAGTGAAGTGGAGTAAATTAACCATAATAGAGCCCACAGTGACTGGCAAAGTCACCTCTCATTATCAAAAAACTCATTAGGAAATGAAGAGGTGGAAATCCCACTGGGTTATTCTCACTCTCCGGCTATATCAGAGATTACTTTTCAGATTTCTTTCAAATGAAGAACTGTTAGGTCACCATATTGCATATTAGGTTAATCTTCAGTGAAATTTGGAGGACTGACATCTGCGTGTTATTCTATCTCAAGAGCTTTAAATGAGCTCTAAATCTTCGATGCAGAAGTCAGTTTTCACGTAAACCTGACATGAGCAAACTCCTAACAATAAAGAAACAATCTAACATTTACAGCATTAAACTTACATAAGACTATTTTTGTAACTATATCACTAAAATTTAATATTAGAAAGACTGCGAGATAATGAAAATGCATAGTCTTTGCTATTCAAATAATATAAAATGTCATTTTACATAATATACAAAACATTGTACAAGATTCAAGGCAAATACTTCAAAGCCAGTATTCATTTAACAATGAGGAAAAAAATGCATTTTCCAGTACAACATATAACTTTTTGTGAAGGTAAAGGAGAGAGGGAGTCCTGACTGAAGCTTCACATTTCTATTATGAAGGATTTCATTTTGAGTCACTTTAAACTTCTCCATTTTTTTTCTGACCTTATTCCACAACAATTAAGAGTTCATGAGCGCTTGCTTTCCTATTAAGTCTAACTAAAGAACTACTTTAAAAAAAATGGGTGGAGGAATATGATCTTCCTATGCTATAAAATAATTCAGCTTTTCTGACAAGAGCTAACAAATAACAGTTATTTTAAAAATGACATTTACTGTGGAGATGAGTAACATTAGATAAATTTGTTGTGATTTTTCAAAATGTAAAGGTTTGAAAAAAATATTGTAGCTGCTTTTATAGTATACATTTTAATGATCTCCAGAGTTTCTATTCTTCATACACAATTATGCCTGACTGTGTAAAGTTTTGCAGATTGTACAATGATAACAGTAACCAATATCTGTCTATGATAGTGAAATTATTTTTTCCAGAATTGGATATTTGTAGAGGGAGGAAGAACATGGTTGTCCCAGGATTGTGTCTTATTTTCTGCAATGGCCATGTTACTTTTTGTCCACAGAGCCTATAAATTATGTTATGAAGGAGTCTGCTCTAGACAGGAATTTACTTTCTGCCGTAGTTTAATTATTCAGATTAATCAGGTTTTTAGTGCCTCAAGACAGACAAGTACGAATTACTCTTTGTTTAAGATGGTGTCAGAGATATCTGTTAGTGGCATATGCCTAGTTACATAAAGTGTGTATATATTTGGCTTATTTTAGAGGTTTTTTTGGTTGTATATTCAATATTCTGCTCCTTTCCTTGCCAAGTTTTCTTTCCAAATGTCACTTGCTGACACTATGTACCATGCTGTCGCTCAGTATTATTGCAATACTACATTGGCACATATCAGTCAAAACTAGGAGTATTATGAAGTTAACTCATAACCTTCATTTTCCATCAAGTATTACTCAGTGAAATGTCTGTCTACCTGCTGTAATTCAGCCATGGTACACCTGCAGACAGTCTGACAAAGCTGATGTAGAAAAACCAGCATGTTGAAATCTACCTGCTGTAACTCAGCCATGGTACACCTGTAGACAGTCTGACGAAGCTGATGTAGAAAAACCAGCATGTTGAATGTTAGCCTCTTGAAAGCCATTGTCATTGTCATGGCTATTGATTTCAAACAGCAATTCTCTGACATTTTTTTCCACTATTGCTGTTGCTAGTAGCAGAATGGCAAACACCTCCAAAGACAGCATCACCTGCCTGCTTTGTTACAACCTGTGTGCCATTTTTGTACTAGAATTTATGTATAACATAGCCCCTATCTTAAACTACAGGGTGGAGATAGAAAATAATTTGGATTTAAGGTAATGAGGGCAAACTTTATACCTGCACCGATACCTCTCATCAAACCTTACACTTAGATTAGGGGCTTAGGATTTTTGTTCAGTCCTATTAGGACCTGCTTTGAAATCATAACCTGCCTTCAGATAAGAGCTACGTGTTTTGGTTACTGATACTGAGAGCTAACTCAAGCTGCATTATTGCTCACCAGAATATCCAATGACCTTTTTGACTGAATGGGAGTTTTAGGCACAAGACAATTGTGCAATAAGCTGTTCGTGTCACTCTGTCTTGTAAAGATGAAACAATTTTTCAGCTTGCTTCCACATAGTACATCTCTAAATCTCACTTTTAAAGTATGTCTTGTATGTAAAAATACACAATTTGTATATAAGCTGGGACTCTTGCAATTTTCACCGCAATTTAACTGATTCATAAATGCTCTGTGGAAGCAGAATGTAATATAAATAGGAAATGAATGGAAATATAAACTTTCTTTTTACAGATTATTGGGTGGTTTTCAATGGCTACATTTTCACCACAATTTAAATAACTGATCCATAAATGCTCTGTGGAAGCAGAATGTAATATAAATAGGAAATGAATGGAAATATAAACTTTCTTTTTACAGATTATTGGGTGGTTTTCAATGGCTACAAATAGAATATGGAGCCCCCAGCAAATTTCTTTCTTGAAATTTACTGGTTTTATTTTGGATTTAAAAATATGCCAGAAAATCCAAGTGGTGTCTTCCCAAGAATCCTATGGAGAGCAGGATAATTATAGACTGTCTACCAAAGTGCTCATTTTGTCAGTGGAAGAAACTCATGTTAACCTGTGTCATTCTTCCTTTCCTTTGATTCTGCAGAAGCTCTCGAGAGCAGTGTAACAACACGCTGACTCCAGGATAACTCCTAAGCTGTGCCTGTATAAGTAAAAGCAAAACAAGCCCCACAGCTTCTGTTGTGCACAAGCACAGTAGATTCTTTTCCTAGTATTAGAGGAGAAACTCCATTCCAATGCTGCATTATTAGACTGTACTTTTAATCTCTGGTCTTTTCTTGTCATATTTTAATATATTTCAGATACCTAGTATGTAAAAATTGAATAACTTTCATCTTCAACTTCAGTATTTCAAGAATTTTTCATGTGGGGACCTGTTTCTGTTCCTCTGATCCGTTTCCCGTTAATATTGTCTATGCATTAGCTTGCCCTGGCACAGGCTTTCGATTTGTTGTTGTTTGTGTGAATATGAGATGGCTCATATGAAGAGGGTGTGGGGTGTCTATATTGACAAGACAATGGAGAATTAAGCTACATAGCTTTGAAGACAAGTGGTAGTTGAGGGATTTGAAGTGTGGCATTTCCTCAAGGATCTCTTGTTTCCCATCTGCTTTGATGCACAGGTGGTACCTTTTGGCAAGATCAATTCTAATCATAGGGTAGAGTGCCATGCGTCTGCTGATGATACTCAGCTGTATCACTTACCCCTGCGCTCTGAGTTCTTTCCCTGCCCTGCAGTAATCCTTAACGGAGATCTCCAGATGGGTAAATCAGAGCTTCCATGTCCTCAGCCCTGGGAAAACAGAATGCTCACCGAGTTGTTGATCTGAGGCAGTGCTCTCCTATGTGTGCCTGCGTACAGAGGGATCTCCATGGAGGTGCAGTCATATTAAGAGTCTTGGCATCCTTTTGCAAAGTTTCACTTCCCTGCAAGGACTGGTGTCAGGATGATAGGAAAATGATTCAGCTTTTTAAGTTGAACAGCTTTTGTTGCCTGTGACTTCTTTAAATTTCAGTCTGACTTTGGAATAACAAGAGTCGCCCTCCTGCCCGTGAGGCTTTATTACTGTAATTCCCAGAGTAGGGCTGGTAGCAGCACATTCTGCGGTGTGCTCCGACAACACTGAACTACAAGCTCATCCCTTCAAGTAACTGTGATTGCCTGATTAATGCCAGTGCTGCACTGATTCGCTATAAAGCAGCAATATTGACTTAATTGACATGGTTTTATTCTTGTTTTTAAGCTCAAAGTTGCCTTGAAAAATCAGCTTAATAAGTAGCTTGATACCAGCCACCTTTTGTTTCCCAAAGGCAATGTTCATCAGCTGCTTACTGTGAAACCTTTGTGTTAATATCCAAATCCTTCTCAGTTGTTATTGTTGCTGGTCACAGATGCTGCAATTTTAAGATATATAAATATAGAAAAAATAACACTGTTTTGAGTGCCTAATATACAATTAATTATGCCAGAACTAGCTAGTTAACAAGTAGTTCGAGGAGCAGTGTAATAATGGAGCATGTTTGTAATGGACTCATAGGTGCTCTCAAGGGTGGATTCTCAAGTGTTTAATAAGAGATGAGCCTATGCCGCTGCCTTTTTCTCAGTGGAAGCCCTAATAATCTCTGCCTGCTACCTAGCTGCCTGTTTTCATGAAACTTCATATATCAGATATCTCTCTCTACCCCTCTGTGTAATACAGTTGAAATTTGCTAAAAGTTTCAACATTCTTAGCAAAAGAGAGGTGAGAGAACAAAAAAAGAGAGCTGCTTGCATTAGTATTGTCTCCTTAGGTAAAAGAGATTGATACGTAATTTCCCATTACTCTACAAGGGTGTTTTCAAGAAAATAGTTCTTACTTTCAGATCATTGTATCCGGGAAAAAAAAAAATGTGTTCAGACTGGACAATCAGCAACAAAGGCACTTCCTTGCAGTACAAGTAGCAATAAGGAACTGAAACTTGATGACACATTTTCCACATAGTCTCTGTCTCTCCCAGGCTCAGTTTGTGGTGGACATCATTCAGGAATGGAAGGCAAAGAAGTTTCTGGAAGTTACAGAAATTATTTTTATATGTTATACATGGAGTTGTACCAGTAGTGGAACAAGAAGGATTGTGATTTTATGAGATGGTTTCCAGGGTTTTGAACCCCATAATCCAGCCTTTTCTTCTTAGGAAGAGGAGAAAGCCTCCTCAAAATGCAGTTGTGGTACTCATCCAAATCAAATGAGAAGCCTGGATGCAGGAATAGTTGGGAGGAGGAACCCACAAGAAAACTTAAAACTACGCAATATGGATGGAAGAAAAGGAAGGCTACCAAAATAATGAAAATGTATCTCTGTGGCTCAGCTTGCCTGTATGATTTGCTTGGACACATGGGAATATTCTTACAGGTCCTAATAATAGTGGTGAATTAATGGGTGAATACAGACACATTCAAAATATGAAACTGATATACTCCCTTGGTGGGACAGGATATCAGTGTGCTAAGAGTTAGGATTTGCTAAGAGAACATTTCAGGGAGGACACAGACAAGCAGTGGTGGTGGCAAACTAATTTTCAGGTTTTTAAGCATCTTTAGTTTGCATTGTATATACAGTTTTTCATGCAGTAAATCCCATCTGTGAAGCAGGTAATTTTCTACTGCTTATAGCTACTTTACTTTTGTTGAGTAATATACTTCATGCCTATAGGATGCTGACCAGTCAACTCCATTTCTTTCAAAAAGCAAGAGAACACCTCCAGGTGTGTTACATGTTATCAGCTTTCCTTAGCATTTTAGACAACTAGTTTTCAGGACTTCCTTTAAATAGTTATAAAACTGCAATTGCTGTAAAGTTGGAGGTAATCAGACCAGAGAACTGCAAACTTCCAAACAAACAGAGAACCAGCAAACTTCCAGAAGGGAAGTTTAGAGTTAACGTCCTTTAAAATTTTGCAAGAGAGTTGAGAGGGCAGAGGAGAGGCAAGCTTGGCTGCTGAGGCTGAGTTTCATGTGAACACAGACTGGCTGGGAGGTACTTTTGTTCATGGGACTCTTGATGAGGTTTGTGCACATGTCCACGAGGATTGAGAAAAGCCAGGATTCTGGTGGTGAGCTCTGGCCTTCAAGATTTTTATGTATGGACATGCATAGGCATACCAAGCCATGTTTTCTATTCAAGAGCTCATTGCATGTCCTGTGTAGCTACAGGCAGTGATTCAGGACTTTGCCAGCTCCCGAGGACACAGAGAAGATGGGTAAACTGTTCTTATTCCCCCAAATAGTCATGTGTCACATATTGCCTTTTTCCATTAAGCAATCTGGAGGAAATGCTCTATATTTTTGCACATAGCCTAGTGATGCTGGAATGTTTTACTGTAACTTTTGTTCTTCTTAGCATAAGGAGAATAAAAATAATTGAATGACATTCAAATACTGTTTATTTGGTTTGGGTTTTTTTTTGTTCTGTCTTGATGTCTAAGTATTGAACAAAATTGCTAAGTCTTACATTCGGCAAAGTATATTATTAATTTCAAGAAGATGCAAAAGTGTTCTGGTTCAACAGGAACTTCAGTATGTGCCTAGTTTTTGTTACAGTGACAGTTTAAAATGTACTGCAGTGTCCTCATGGAGCACTTCATTTATCTTTTATGAACTGTATTTCCTACACAAGCTGGATCTTGTTCTTAAAATGCTTTTGTGTAGTAAACATTTTAAGCGATACTTTTTCCTATAGCTAAATAAAATAGGGAAAGGCTTGACATTTTTTATTTGTGTTTTGTTTGTTTTTAAAGCATTTTTGTGCAATGGAAAGTTTCACAAGCACTTGCAAGAAATTTTTGTTCCCATGGTCGTCCGCTACATTGATCTCATGGAATCATCACTTGCCCAGTCCATTCACAGAGGTCTTGAACAAGAATCATGGCAACCTGTCAAGTAAGTGCTTTCTACAAGATCTGAACAAAGCACCTGCCTATAGCTTTCTGTCTAATTAGATGTTCTTCCCTGTTGTCCTCTAAATATTCTATTTTTTATTGTATTCCTACATTGTTTATTTCTTCACAGGAGCATCAGCAACAGTCTTCCTAATGTAGCTCTTCCAAAAGTTCCAAGTTTGCCTCTTAATCTTCCACAAATACCTAGCTTTACTACACCAACCTGGATGACTTCTTTGTATGACTCCACGTGTGTATTCTTCAATACCCTTCTGACTGTATGTCAGCTCTGCATGGCCTTGCTAGTGTTCTGTGCAGCTGTATTTGGATTGCATGGTGTTTATGATCTCTTAGTTGGAAATTATTGTTTCTCGGGAGTGAGCCAAGCATGGACTGTTAGTGAGTCGTGCTTTCTAGTGCATTAAAATGTAGGAGCCTTAAACCTGATAATTTACAAAATCAACTTGGCAAAGGTCTGCCATCATATGAATGGTGTTTAATACCCTAAACAACCTAACGACTCTTCTGTATTAATAAGCAGTGGGGAACCTGTTGGATAATTGATTTTAGATCATGGTTTTGTAAAGTGAGGTAGCTCGTCATATTTTTGCAAGGGCTTGATTAACTCGTATATTGGTACTGAAAATCATTGATTGCAAATGTGGTCGTTAGATTAAATATCCATGTCACAGGGAAATAGTAAAAGATTAATAAGTACCAGAGTAGAATAGTATATCCATTTCTTTGTTTGAAAAAATATGTGTTTATTTTTGATTTCTGCCCAACACTTCAGGGCTTTTTTCTTAGGGAAAAAAAAATAGAGCAGACGTGCCCTGACTGTGGGAAATAGTAAAAGATTAATAAGTACCAGAGTAGAATAGCATATCCATTTCTTTGTCTGTTTGAAAAAATATGTGTTTATTTTTGATTTCTGCCCAACCCTCCAGGGCTTTTTTCTTAGGGAAAAAAAAAATAGAGCAGACATGCCCTGACTGTGGGAATATTCCCATAGTTACAGGCTAGATTTCTATATGAGGGCACATTCATATACATTAGAGAAAGGCTCAAGAAGAACCTTTGTATTAGGAAAGTATGAATGTGAAAGACTTCAAAAAACACATGTTCAAGATGCAAAGCTTGATAATATCATTTCAAGCCATGTGTTGTCTTCTTAAGTTTTATGATGGTGTTAAACACTCCTGACAAGCAAAGCACTCAGATCCATTACTGCAAGAGTTTGTAGAATCATAGAATACCAGGTTGGAAGGGACACAAAGCTTGATAATATCATTTCAAGCCAAGTATTGTCTTCTCAAGTTTTATGATGGCATTAAACACTCCTGACAAGCACTCAGATCCATTACTGCAAGAGTTCATAGAATCATAGAATACCAGGTTGGAAGGGATCTCAAGGATCATCGGATCCAACCTTTCCTGGCAAAAGCACGGTCCAGACAAGACGGCCCAGCGCCCTGTCCGGCTGAATCTTAAAAGTGTCTGATGTTGGGGAATCCACCACTTCCCTGGAGAGATTATTCCAATGGCTGATTGTTCTCATTGTGCAAAATTTTCCTCTTGGGTCCAATCGGTATCTCCCCAGGAGTAACTTGTACCCGTTACCCCTCGTCTTTTACATGTGACTCCTTGTAAAAAGGGAGCTGATAGTTTGTGCTCTGCCAGACTCATAGTGCTTGTTTGTTGAGTATTATGATTGTTGTTCTGCTGCTAATTCACCTAAAAGTTGACAATATTCCTCATAATCTTTGGCTTTGGTACCTTTTGTGTTTACTACAATAATGCTAGGTTTCTCCTGATGTGCTTATGCAAGTCATTTCAACCTTTGAATACAAACTATCTGGTCTTCTGCTATGCAAATTCCTTTCTGTTATTCCCATGCTTTCAATAGTTATTTTTTTTTAAAGAATAACTTTCAGAGTTAAGAGTTGTTATAAGATTAGATGTGGTCTTCTTACAGTCTGTACTCTAGCAGCTCCATCCAGTAAAAATAACTTGTACATGTTAAAATTCATGTATTTTGAATATTGAATTTATAATTAATATATAATAAACATGGATTCTGGTTGGAGGATTATAATGGTAGATCTTTCCTAAATGAAGGTTTTGGTGTAGCAATAAATTCCTAGACTGTATTGTCAAAAAATGTGCAAGCATAGTGAAATTCACCCATCTGCTCATCCCCTTTGCGTATCTTCTGGTATTAAGGTTGGTGGTGTGTATGGCAAAGTATGCATAACATCCTCAACTAATATCAGTGAGGTTTTCAAAGTATTTGGTGAACACTGAGGTTGACATGTGCTGTAAACACATGCCAGCAGTAGCTGTCGCTCTGCTGCTTCTCAAGAGAAGTGAGGATGAGCCGTGTCCCCACTGCGGTGTGGCCTTTGTAAGGTAATCGTCCCCTTTCAGCCACCCCACACAACATTCGAGAAGAGGTCTGCCAAGGTGCTGGCTCCATTTTAGGCACTTCTTCATGGCTTTTTTTACCTGAACATAGAGCTTTGAAGTTGTATTTTATAAAATGTGTATAAATTAACTTTCAAGATTGCAGGTAGTATTAAGTTACCTTTGTAATACGGTGGAATTCAGGTAGAATTTTAAGAATCAGCCTACCTACATCCTACTGAAGAGCGAAGTAACTTCTCAGAATGGCCATGTATTGCATTTGGATCAAAAAATAAAAGTGAAGGCACTGCAAGCCAGTTATTCCCCCTCCCAAGCTAAAAAGTTTCCTCTTTCCTGCTGGTTATGCTGTCTCAGCTCCCGACAGAGGAAGTGGTTTGCTTTCACTATTACATGAAAGAAAGGACGAGGATTTTATTTCTACCACCTCTCCCATCCCATCCTTTTCAGGAAGAACGAAGCTTCCACTTTCTAGTTAAATTCTCCAATGGGGAGCAACCAAATACCTAGGCTCCAATACCTGTTAAGCAAAACCCAGTGTTTCCTGTCGGTTTTGCCTTTCAATGTGATGAACACCCACCTTAAATGGACTAGGGTGCCATATTGTATTGTACATAGAGTCAGCAGAGGCACCTAAATTCAGGAACCCAGGCCCTGCTTTGTCAGTCATCGCAGGTGGCTCCTTGCCTCCACTGCCTCCCCCAAAGTCTTTCTCCCCGAGTCCACTGTGCTCCCTCCTCCTGGGCACACAGCTGATCCTTTGGCAAGAAGATGACTACGTATATCACTAAGTTGTGCTGGTCTTCTCTCTTTCTCTTTGAAAGTGGTGGTTTTGGCCAGTTCATCGTTATCGATTTGAATTACACAATGGAGAATCTACTGGCAGAAAGAATGAGAAAAAGCAGTCTGTGAGCCAACTGACTTATAGTTAAACGGTTACTGAGAATGCCAAGTCCTGTGTCTATTTTGTCTGCAACAGGAAGAGATTTCATATTCTCTAAACTTTACTAATGTTCATGTTCATGATTTTATGTTCATGTTTAAGTCCATTCATATTCAACAGAGCTGTTATGTACCTACCTAAGAACTTTTGCTGAAGAGGTGCAAATATATTCACAGTTAGGCAATTTTTTGTGTGCTTTATTGATGAAAATAGGTTTTCCTCTCCTTCATTTACAAGTTGCTGCAATTCTTTTGAACATTACTAGAAAAGATTGTTTATATTTTTTAATTAACTGTTGCTTTTTTTTTTTTCCCTTGTTCACATGTTTTGGAACCTTAGAAGTACGCTGCTTGTAACAGCACCTAGGAAGATCATTACCTCATTTTCAGTTGTTTTGGCTTAACCTTTTATTATTGGGCATTGGAAAGGGAGGTATGAAAAGGGGAAAATGTTGTGAGTAGTAGTCTGTTTTTCTTGATTGGTCTCAGGAGAGGACAACTCCAAGGACACCTTGGCTAGACATGCCACTGTGGATTATTGTTCCATTTGGCTGAAGGCAACATCCTTAAAAAGCAAAGAAGTTTGAATATTCTGTAAAAGCTTCTAGTCAGCTAGAATTAGGGGTTTCTTCCTTACTTATTCATTAATTCAGTGGTACTACTTTAAATTGCATTTTTGTTCCATTTCATATTTTAAATTTAATTTCTCTGCTTCTTCTGGACCTTAAGTTAGATTTGTAGGTGATTTTAATTGTTTGTGGCTTAATTTATGTATTATTATTTTCTGTGCAGACATGACATAGATTCACTGACCAAAAATATTGTAGATACAGACCTGCGGTTGTCTGTGGCTATCTGGTGCTGATCTAGAACATCAGGTTCAACAAAACTCAAGGCTGGGGAAACATGGAATAAGACACATACTTGCAGGAGAGTAGTCCTGTCTTGTCTTCCAACCAGAACAGGCAACATCAAAGGAAACATGTCAGCTATATTCCTCCTGCTATGGCTCAGCTATAACGAGGGACAAGAGGGGCTGGCTGGAGCAGTCGCAGTGCTCTGACTGTGACATGAAGGGATCTGGTCTGAATGTGACTGAGCTCTCGTGCTGGACCTCTCTGTGTGTTTGTGCATGCTGAATAAGTCAGGAGGCCACGTTTCAGCGCTGGTTTGGGAGGGTTGCATCTGTAACGCCATATATGTTCCTGTCGTAGTGCTTGCCTCCAGTAAAGTGGTAGGAGGCCATGGTCTGCATTTTTAAGGATGGATATTTAAAGGTATAGCCATAGGACTGATGAAATCATGAAATTTAGCTGATCTACTTTCTGTGGAACAAGGACTTTTGAATATAGCTAGTTCCTATTGAGCACTGTGGAAGATAAATGTATATTGTGGGCCAAATTTCTTTTCTTGCAAAAATACTAACATGCAGGAAGAAAGAAGATTCAAGAAACATGTTTTGGTTGCTTGATCCTCAGGTTGCCCCACTCTAGAACTAAGTAAGAGGAACCGTAAGGTAACTCTGTCCCTAATATCTTTGAGGGACCATACACAAGCTGTTACTTGCCAAGGTTCTGCTCCATCCTTCCCCCTCGTCTGCTGGTGGGAAATAGAGAGATGGGGCTAAGTGCCATTGACTCTGTAGTTATTGAAAATCCTTTTCTGTTGAAGAAATTCCCAGCTGACTTTCTGAGCCCTGAATATACATCTTGAGGCAGCATAAAGGAAGTAGAGCTGAAGCTCACAAGCTGGGGACTCACAAAAGACATAAAGCTGATGCTCTGCTTTGTAAATAGTCCTCGCTAATGGTTAGTAACTCAGTAATAACCTTAAAAAAAAAGTTAATTGCAGTTATTTATAAAATCACGATCATTGCCCTTGGTAAATTCTACAAGACTGGAAGCCAGCTGCTTTTGAATCTTGTAGCTGATTGAGAATGTCCTTAGATATTTAATATTTCTCCTATATTTTCATATCCCAAGCTACCCCATGGAGTTTCACATCTAGGCAAGAAATGACATATTCTACATCTACTCTGGAGTGGTGTGTATGCTGATCTTGCAGGCAGTGTGCTTTATTAATGGACTGTTGGTCTAATTGCTACTGCTTAGGTAGCTGGCAAGCCTAGGGGGAAGCTGCCTCTCTCAGCTGTTAGTGGATGAGTGAATTTACTTAGGAGGCTGTATGCAGCTCCTAGGTTTAATATTCTGCAGGATCTTGGAGAAGCATTATGTCTTGGACCTTTTTTTACTGTGTTCAGTATGATGCAAGGCATAAAGCCGTAAGATAATTTAGGTTAAAATCAACATCTGGAGATACCTGGTCCACTCTTGCAGTCAAAGTGTGACCAAACAGAAAGTTAAATTGCCATTAAAAAAAACAAACAAACAAAAAAAACATTAGGATGGGCATATTTGCCTCTTTTAATCACTGGAAACTCTCTTAACTGCTGTGAAGTGATTAAAAGAAGTGGACAACTAGATAGTACCTTTAGCACAAAGAATTAGCACTGAAAGCTTGACTAGCAAAACAGTGGAGTTTGTGCTTAATTTTAAAAATATAGATAACTAGATTGAATATAGCTTTTAAAGAAAGAGTACCAGTTCAGTTTCCTGGTAGAGCAATATTATCCCATTCATTAGATTGAAGTAGCTTTACCATACATGTTCAAATAAAAGCTTTTCATTAGCCAAGAATGTGTCCTGTCTCTTCCAAAAAAAAAAAAATGCTTCTGGAGTTATGGATGTAGATTCAAATGCTTTGGTGGTTTGATTCAAATGCAGGAATTCCTCCTGCTGCCAGGAGGAGGTAAAAACTGAGTTTGGCTCTTCTTCATGTTACACTTTCTGGAGTATTAAACCCTGAAGTGACATAACCAGCTTCTAGTAACTGTAGACTGTACAACCACTTCAGGGTATTGAGGTATGTGCTGACAATTAATACTATTTCTAATGCTTTTACTGAGTAAGGGCCAGGAAGAATCCTAACATCCAAACAAAACAAGTATCTTGTACAAATAGCAGAAACAAAGTGATTGAAGTCACAGTTTTCTGCAGCATTCAACAAACAAACTAGACATTTGTGTCTGGATGTGTGAACTAGGAACAAATAGTTTCTGCTGTAGCACTTTGTTTTCCTTCCCGTTTTATTAGTGTAATATGTCAGTCAAATTCAAATGTCATTGGACAATGCTGAATAAAAAATCAAAGAATGGAAGCTCAAAATGATATGAAAAGAGAATGAATGAATTAGTGTTTCTCACAGGATGAATTAGTGTTTCATGAACCTGTGTCTATTATTACATTTATTATAATTGCAAAACTTTATTTGGTAGTCTAATGAAACCAAATTAAGTGGCTACCGGGGAGTAAACGTGCATAAGAATACGTTGATGTTATTGAGAGCACATTAGTCCTCCTGAGTCCTAAAGAATTTCATTTGGAATTCCATTAGGGAAAAAAGAAAAAATTATGGAAGAATAAAAAATGGTTAAATTGTATAATCTGATGATGAAAAATGCTAGTTCTGTTTCTTGAGAAAGTACGGTTTGTTTTCTAGAAAATATGTGTTCTTATCAACTGTAATATATATACTGAGGTCCCCATTTCTGTCCCTATATAATTTGTCTTCTTCTTTTACCCCTGTCATCTCAATTATTGACTTAGAATCAAATAATGTGTATAACATAGCATCTACAACCTCACTCACTGCCAGCGTGCACAGCAGATGTAATGAAATCTTCAATATTGCTTATCATATAACTTAAGAAGCAGTCTAACAGGATTATAAACTTCCTGAGAAGTTTTGGTGGTTTGTTATTTCTATTTCTTAATTAAACTTAGTGGTGTATAAAAGTGCTCCCTATTCAGGTCCAACCGTAACAGGTAATGCCCCTGTGCAAGTTGTAACCTTAGCAGTCCCGTGGGCCTTTTTCCTGTTTCTGCTGTTTTCTTTCAGGAGCATGCTATAATGTGGAATTAACAATTACTATTTAAAATAAGTGGGGACAATATGCACAATGTCCAAAAAGCCTGTCTAAAACTGTGGGGTATCCTGCTATGCACAATGAAGATACCAAAACTCATGCCATTTAAAACCAAAGCCAAAGACAGGGTCGGTCGCTCGGAGCCAGCCTTTTCCTTAGGCGGGTGCCGGTGCTGTCGGAGGGGTGCATTAGGTGGTCAGGTATTAGAGGTGCTTTCTATTTTTTTGTTTGTTTGTTTTTCAGTCTGACCCTTCTCTGTCCTGAGCACGCTCAGCACTCACTGACTCCTTCCATGAGAACCACGGTCACTTAACGCTTCGATAATTATGTTCTTTTGTCATGAGGCAGAAGAAAGAAAATGGCAGTAGTGGCATATTTAAACTATTTGGATCTGAATTGGGACTGTCAGGCTGAGGTTTGGTTGCTTGTGTCGCTAACATCCTGGAATGCCATGCTGCATGGTGTAACTGTCCTTAAACAAATAACCCAGGCATTGCAATACAATGCATCATGAAAATGTAATCAATCCATGGTGACAGCGGAAGTGTAACTGTAGTTACTGCTAAGATTAGCCTTAAATTGTTGTATCTTATCACAAGCAAATATCTTTAAATTTAGCAATCGGTTCAGGGTGGAAGAAGAACTTTAAAACTATGTGGACAATCTGAGATGACATAGAGCCATATTAATCCCCTGTTTTGTTTGTGCACAGATTTCTTTAAATAGTTTCTGTTCTCTTTTTTCCACCGGGATCTGATGTTATTCCCTCAGTTAGAATTAATGAGCTTTTATCAAAGGACTATTTGTCTGGGTATCTCTTTTACAATATTACTACTAGCATCCTCATTTCTTTGGTAGGCTTATCTACCAGAGGTGTGATGGCAAGGAAACATATGTGCAAAGTCTTCACTGTCTTGAAAAGGTCCTTACTAATTCATAACTCCTGTACCCTTTATTTTTCCTGTATTGATCGAAAATTTGAGCTACTTCATTTTCTGTGTTCCCCAACATCCCATCTACCTCGCTAGCCTGTCATATTTCTCAGCTAACAGATGAGAAAACTTCACTTTTTTGACCCTAGTGGGAATTATTTTAAATTTTCCATGACCATTTTCACATTCTTGGAGTAAGAGCAACTGTGCTATGAGATGCAAAGGAGGAAGATGGTGTGATAAGGAAATCTTCTTACCTTAGATAATTCTGTGGCAACTGGAATAGACATCCATACATTTATCTTCTGTTTCTTGGGGACTTTGTTTTGTTTTGTTTCTTATAGCAATGGCTCAGCCACATCGGAAGATCTTTTCTGGAAACTGGATGCTCTGCAGATGTTTGTTTTTGATCTTCACTGGCCAGAACCAGAATTTGCCCACCATTTAGAGCAGAGACTTAAACTCATGGCCACTGACATGATAGAAGCCTGCGTTAAAAGGTACAGTTGAAACAATCAATTTAAAATTGGGTGAGATTTTAAAATTAACATAGGAACAGCCATACTGACTCACAGAGGTACATCTGTAACAAAATCCTGTCATAGGAATCAGGGCAACAGTAAAGAGGTCATGACTTGTGTGTATTTTCCTGCATCTGGCAATCAGCAATTTGGCAACATCTAGGAAATACCAAGGAGAATTTCTACATATGTTGTGAATAGACGCTTGGAAGTGAATAAAACAAATCTCTTTTCTATTCCATGTTTGTGGCAAACATTAACAAATCTCAGAATTCTGCTAGAAGAAATTTTTTTTCTTTTTGTACATTTCCCTTCTCCATTACTATATTATTCCTTATGTTCAGTTAATAACACTGCTTAAGTTGTCATTATTTTAGAGTACTGTCTCTAAGGAAAATATTACAAATTAAAGAGTATACAGCATTTCTACATTTATACAATAAACAAAAGAAGGCTATCTGTAAGTCATCCAACTGAAACTAAGTTTTATATTGCTAAGCTTCTGGAAATTATAGAAAACATAATGTTGGTTTTTTCTTGAGCTGTGTCTTATAATTATGGGTATAATCTTTTAAATTAAGCATAGGTAATCTAAAAAGATCTCTGCTATAGCTTTTGGTACATATCATTGAGTTTAGAAGAAATGCCTGTATGTCTAGAAAATTTACAGGACTCTCCTATTAGGTGCTTCAGGAGCCATGATCCTATATACAGAGAAAGCTTAGTCTAGACACGTAAAAATACTGATTTATTTTTTTTTTAAAGTACATAGAAGAATGGGGAAAAAAGAAAGAAAGTTTGTAGATGATTTAATGGTGTAAATCAGAAAATATACAACATTGAGACAGAAGGCTAAAGAAACAGAGAACCTTTAACATCCACTAAGGTTAAATCTGATAACATAGTATTTTATTATTTTCTAATAGGAACAAGGAGAACCTCAGACTTAGTACATGAGCCTGTTACTAGAGCTACAGTGATGAGATCATGGTAAAAAAGGCAGAAGCATTTCACAAACATTTCTATTTGATTTTGGAAGGAGAATGATAAAACAAATGAAATAAAAGTTTAAGCTCTGTAGCAAAGGAAGATATGAGACAATATCTACTAAAATTGAAGTCGTGTAAGCTTACATCCATCTCTTCTAAAGAATTTGAGTTAGAAGCTCAGTCAACTACAAATATCCAACAAATCTTAGAAAAATGGTGAAATCTCAAAGGTCTGGAAGACTGTCAGGATAATCTTAGTCTTAAAAACCGTAAAAGGAACAGCATTGAGATGCAGTAATACGTTGATTATATTGACCTCGAGCCTGGAAAAAAATGAAAAAATTTTTACATTGGGACTCTTATCAACAGGACTAAAATACAAAGATGTGTATAATTAGTATTGGTTAAAGTAATTTATTGAAAAATTAATCTTTTCAAATTCATCTTACGTCTTTTTTAAAGATTATTACAGATTAATGTGGGAAAGGCAATTGTGTTAATATAAATACTTGGATTTCTCCTAGGCAATAAATCTAATGCCACATGTTGTTGTTGTCGAAAACTTTGCACCATACAGATTTGATTATGTGGATTTTAATGGTACACACAAAATAGGTTAAAAATGGCTCACTGCCAAGATCAACAACCAGAAGCTGAGAACAGAATTAACAACTCAGAGGCATTACAAAAATAATTCCTTATGAATTGATTTTTGGTCTGTGATACCAATCATGATATCTTTGCTGCTTGCTTTTGCAGCGAACAAGAAGATTCTGGTGGCAATAAATGAAAGTTTAATTAATATTACAGAATGATCCTACTGTCAATACATAAAATGTATTAATATTTTAGAGTTAATACATAACATACTAGTGTTAATACGCTAAGTATGTTTTAGTGTGGTCAAAGACGCTGTATGTCAGGTAACAAAGAAAGTAAATTATATCTGTAGGATAGATTGTATTAGGCAGTAGCAACTCAGAAAAGAATGATGGAACTATTCTATTATAGCTCTTATTGTGATGCTATCTATGAGAGTTTTTAAAATGGAAATAGGATGTTTCTGTTATTGTGATGCTATCTATGAGAGTTTTTAAAATGGAAATAGGATGTTTCTGTTTCCATCTTCTCAAAATATTGTGTCAGTTTCTGGTACTCACATTTAAAAATAAGGGTGGAAATAAAACATTACTTCTATATTTATGTATTCTGAACTATTATGATTTATTTCAGTGACATTGCTCCTTGTTTGCACTGGTGTGAGAAGAAAATAGGTTTTTTGTATTATGTATCTCCTGGTACATCTTACTTCTCAATATAAAGATTAATATTTGCTTAGTAATTAACTCCTTTTCTTCAATAAAATTCTCTTTTCTATTAAAGCCAGAGGAGAATTTTTTAATTATGTTTCTTAGAAGCAAGTATTTGGTGTGATAAACTGTATTTTAGCATAGCAGATCTAGAAAATGTGGGGTATTTTCATTGCTTTAAATTGTTCTTAGTCATCATACAAGGAAGCATATTGTTATCTAGTAGGCAAGAAGATAATAGTTTTATTATTCAACTGAATTAGCTGAAGCAGTGCAGAACCTTGAGATTACCATCAATGCAATTGTTTATTGAATGGGTGGATATTCTGCACTTACAGAATTTTATTTCTAAGATGTTCTCACATGCATGTACATTGTTAAGCCAATACGTTTAGTAAGGTTTATACATTTGTACAGTGATTGTTCAGAATTATTGGAGAGACTCATATTACGAATTGTGTTTTAATAACAGAACAAGAATTGCATTCGAACTCAAGCTGCAAAAAACAAACAAATCAACAGACTTGCGTATCCCTTCTTCTCTGTGTACCATGTTTAATGTCTTAGTTGATGCCAAAAAACAAACAGCTAAACTCTGCATACTGGATGGGGGGCAAGAGGTAAGTGGAATTTTGTATGTTTAATTCCTATGTTCAGTTAATCTGAAACATCTCACACTGCAGACAGTCCTTAATAGATTAATTTCAAACTAACTGAAATGTGTCACGTAGCTCTGTTTGTACAGGAGCATGCATAGACTGCTCCCTAAAAGCATCATGCAAGACGCAACCCCTCATCTTCCACCAGAGAAGACACAGAGTGCTTCTGTAATTTATTTTCTTTGACCTATGAGTCTGTTGAACATTCAGAGGATATCTTGACTCACAGCCCCGCTGGGAATTTCTCTTGGGTTGCAGCAGAGAAACAGCCCACTTCAGGGCTCCTTTATAATAGTGAAATAGAGCCAAAACATTGTCCTTTGCAGCCAGGTTTTAAATGAGTAAGGTTTGTTTTTAAATGGCTTGTACACCCAGCATTTGTGCCTGTGTACATGCGAAAAATAGAGGAAAGAAATAATCAGATAATTTAATGGGATTTTTTTATTTGGTCTCCAAGGACAGGGACCATTTTGGCAGTAGTCTGCTGCCAGGACTGTAGATACTCCACAGTGGAGCACTGATGTGCTTTTGAAGGCTATATAGACTTCACTGACTACTGTCCTTCCCATGTTGTCAGTCTCGGCAGGAATAATCTGTGAAGTGAAAAGGGCATACTGCGTAGACTGGTGAGACCACCAGCATAAAATTAAAACTGCTCTTGCTGTGCTAATGCATTAGCAGTGTAATTTGGTTTGATTTGGTTTTGGAGAGAGGGTAAAAGCATTTGTCAGAGTTTGGCAACAGAGAAGTACATCTCCTTTGGGCAGTTTCACGTTTGCATTATTTGGTTGTATTGTTTCTGTGGATTTTTCCATTTCTGTACTGTCCTTTTCATTTTATTGACTCATCTTTTTAAGTTAGCGTATTTGATGTAATTGTCTTTTTTTTCCCCCAATCCAATGAGACATTCATCATTTTCCTGTTCTACCTTGTCATCTTTATTTTTCCTTTTGGTTTTCCGTGACATGAACCAGTTTGCTAGTCAATGGGTAAGTGTCTTTTCATTGTTTTTTTAACCTGCTTTTTTTCTCTGATTATTAACAGCCACTTTTTATTTTAAATTGTAATATTGCTTTGCATGTTAATTTGTTAGTGTAGCCCTCAGAATTCCTTTACAGCTTGACCTTGCTACAGACTCATCAGCAGCTTCTCAGTTCTTCTTTCTTTGTTCATCCTCTAAGGTGGTTCCAGATGAATTCTTCATTCATCTTCACTCGTCTGCTTTTCAGACCCAGTGTCATGTCCTACCAGGTCACAAAGTTTTGTGCAACAAAACTATTTGTTTCAGGCTTATCAGAAGTAAACCAGAACTAGCAACTCTGCCTGAGGCTGATGCTACCATTTCATCTTTTACTTACTGTCCGAGCAGTAACCTGCAGACACACCCATGCCCACCCTTCGTTGGAGACAGGCAATACCAGTACCTCCACAAAGACCTACATACAGATGGTATGGCCTCATTCTCCGCAGTCACACCATTCCTTCTGCCTGCTCTGGACAATGCCTCCTGCACTATCAGCCAGTCCTCTCAGAGCCAAATTCAGCATTTGCAGTTACCTTTTGAACTGCAGACCCTCACCAGATTCTCTTCTGAAATCTTCCCATTCTCTAGATTTTCAAGCTCCATCATACACTTTTCACAACACCAAAACAGAAATACAGTCCTTGTTCCCTGCTAGGTCTGACCACGACCCCAAATGATTCCGATGCTTCTTTTCAGTGCAAGGGTTTGACAATTTAGCATACCTGTGATGAAATACATACTACTTTCAAAGTCCTCAAATTAATCTTTATCCCAATTCGTCTAATAAACCAAAGGAATCTCAAATTCTTAATATATCAGAAATTTTCAGATAATGTGGAAACTTCTTTCTTTCTCATAAACTTTGAATTCTTGTCTATCAGTTTCTTCCATTCCCAAGGCTTTTTTTAAAGATTAAGAAAAAATAGGCTTTTCAGTTGCTTGTAGCTGATATCGTGGTTGTTTGAAATGCTTCAGGATTTGTTGGGTGAGATACTTCTGGAATCTGCCCATCTGTCAAAGCAGGCAGGAGATCATCTCGTAACATAAACAGTTGCATCTCTGACTCCTCTATAGCAGCTCTGGCATGTCAAATTACTCCTACTTAGCCCGTTGGTCTTGAAACCTTTTCCATATTACCTTTCTTTCCCTCCTCCCCTTCATCTTCATTTTAGTCTCAAACATAGTCTTTTCTGCCAGTCAAGAAAAGCATTCCATAAGGCCTGAGTTAACATTTTTTAAAAGGCCAGTTCATTTACCTAAAACTCAACACTTAATATCCATCTGACAATTTCTACACCTTATTCTGCAAGTGATGGAAGGTGTTATTTAATGGGATGGTTAGACTCAAACATCTCCTTGAATACAGCATGCTCTTTTCATTCCCCCTACAGAGCTATGAGCAGTTGTATACTTTTTTCAAGTAGAGTCAAATGTGGAAGTTTTTACCCTGTGTTGTCAGATAGGAGGGAATTCTTATTTGTCATGTAATTAGGGCATTCTGGTCGTGGTTACCAATAATAGCACCTTGAGTTTAGAGTTTAAATTTGATTGAATCCCCAGGTTTTCCTATCTTACTTCATGCACTGCTCACCATTCTCCAAAATGTCTTCCCGTTAAGTCCACTTTCATAAAGAGTTGCCAAGTCTGTCATTCAGGAGGAGTCCCCTCCTTGCCTTCTGGATATCATCTTAAAACCCAAGAGAAGCACGGCATGATTTGGCTACAGGCACAATCATTACAGTGTTAAAAGAGAGCTCGACTGGTTGGATGCTTTCTGCATCGGTTGACAGTTGCCTTAGGAGGGTTTGAGAAGCAGGTCCAGGGGAGGATGGCCTCATCTCATACTACCTGTTGGTGCCTGCAGCCTGCTTCATGGACCACCAGAATGCCAATTCATGGAGATCAGGGGAAGGGTGCAGCAAGACAGCTAGTCACATACCAGTTGTTGTTATTTCTCAAACGGCTTCTTAGTTTCAGTGTATGTAATCTTGGGTAGTTGTACGATGAGCAGTATCCCACTTCTTTCCTGAACCAGAAGCCAACAGATGCTACCCCTTTACAGTCCATGTATCCTGAGTCAAATGAATAGCAGCAGTAAGGAAAACCTTTTCTGTCACACAACATTCAATCCAGAGACTTTTTGGCCTTTGTTATTTGCAATCAATAGCTTAAAACCTGTTAACGTATAACTTTGCGATCTAGATGCCACACTATTCTGGCAACATTCACCTTTTTGAGTACGATAGGTAAGAATCACACAGAAATATTGCGGGAGGCAAGAATCAAATAGAAAATATTTCTGGGGCCACTTAGGTTGACAAATTGTTAGATCCAAGCAGGGCCTTAGATCTGAATCACAGTTTATTTGTTGTTTTGTGTAACTGGGTAGCAGGAACAGAGCAAATGCCATTGGTCTGTACTGCCAAGTGCTTCATAGCGGAACATGTACAGAAGCTATTTTAGTTGTTTCAGAATTCCAACCTCACAATACCCTATCATGTTTATAAAAGAAGAGAGACATACTTTTCAATTTGCAGAAAAATTAGTGATGTGCCATTTCAGTGGTATGTGCCACAGCCAGTGCCATGTATATCTGTAGAAAAATTTAGGGAAAAGTGGGCTTTAATTTGATGAACTTTGTTTCTGAAGCTATTTTGATTCATACAATTCAAAGAGGAGACTCATTTAACTGCATAAGTACTAGGAGATTATAGCCATTTTGAGAGTAAAAGTACAGAGAGGATTTAATATGTAATATTATATGTTGGCAGTAGCAGTTTCCATTCAGGTGTTCATGTGCAATCTATTTTCACAGCCATCCAACCGTAAAACAACCAAAGGAAAGCTAGCTTGAAAGTCTTTTAAACAAAACCAAAACCAAAGTATATAAGTATATAAAAAAAGCCACCTCCAATATTGGGTCACAGTGAGGTAGAATAGAAAAGAAAATTGAATATATTCTAGGATTGAGCAAGTTACTGTTCTCAGTTCATCACCACAGGGTTTAGGTACAAACTCCTCTGTTCCCCAAAAGCCTAAGTGTCAAAAGGCACTAAAATACTTTGCCTTCTCCCAAATGCTAGTAGGAGCAGAGAGCTGCATTTGGAAGACCAGAGGGATTGTCCTCAAAAGGCAGTCCCGTTCGGTTACATCCCGTGACACACTTGGCCACTAAGCATAGTTTCCTTCCGTGTCCCTCCTACAGCTGCAGCTGTGTTTCATATTTTACTGGGAGTTACTCCAGGGCAGCTGGAAAGGCAGAGCTGTGTTCTGCATTACCTCCTTCAGGGGCCTGGGGATGGTGCCGAAAGACTCCACAATGTGTATTCAGATAATTTAGCAGTGGGAGCTGACTTGTCTGAGTTCAGATGCCATGTGGGCTGTGGTCACATCAGCCAGCAGAGAAATGGAAAGGCACAACTGTCCATGAATTGGTTTGGAAATGAGGTGAGGATTTGTCTGCTCTCACCAAGCCAGCTTGGCAGAAGTAGAAAAGTTGGAGTCCTACAAGTGCTGATTCAAGATCGTGCATACAACCTTGTCATGCATATGATTTTATGATTAATTCTATAATATTTGCCATCTTCTTAATGCCTGTCTTCTGGAGTCAAATAATCTTCCACGAGGATCTGAAGTTTTGTTTTGTCAGGGGTGGCTGTTTTAGTGGAAGTTGGCATTGAGGAGGAGTGGGTTAAAAAATTTATAATCTCATGGTTTGCAAAATAAATCTTGAAAAAAAATCAGTTTAAAAATAATTCAAAAAATTATTTCTAAATAAATGTCATAATTTTGAAAGCTGGTTGTGATTTTTGAACAATTTGATTTAGTTCTTGTTTTTCTTGGTCACACGGTGAAGTTACTGATTATATTCCATTCCTACAAAATTATATTTGCCTTGTGGTGAGGAATAAAAAAAAAAAAGAAAATAAAAAATATAGGAACTGACCTTAGAATATACATAGATCCATTAATTTAATGTGCTGTGGAGGTAAAATTGCAGAGAGTTTATGGGAAGGAAAACTGATTTTTCATGGATCATAGGAATATGTATAGTTTTGACATACATCTGTGGGACAGTAATTTCTTACTGTTTTCAGAGAGTAAGAAATCGTTGCCTTCTGGAGACTGTGTAAGCAGCAGATATCACAGACAGTTTGGGGTGATTTAAGTCCTTAGCAGATCAAGAGAATATTATATTGATCAAGACAGTAATATAGTTAGAATAAAATATAAATTGTGGAAAGTTCTTTGATGTATTTCTAATTCACTCTTTCACTGTTCCAAGATGTTTGCTGCTGTTTGTCTGAGATGTGTATTCACATTTTCCAAGTGTTTTTAAACTTTAAAAGAAATTAAAACCAAAAATTAACACGCTTGGTGTTGGTACCTGTAGCAGGTGCATATGTGGGGGCAAACACATCTCATAGTTTTACTCTTAATTTAAACGCAGGTTTGGTAGGTGTGCTGTTTAGAAAATCATTACTAAATGTATTAAGCAGATCCGATGTAATGTTTTGGGTTGTATGGCAACTCTGCGACAGATGAAAAATAGCCTTTAAAAACTTAACGACTCTGAAAACTCTTCAGCTGGCAGCTGCAAAGTTAGGCTAATGTTTATACTGACCTCAGTACTTTTACTGTGAGCATTATGCTGTTAGCTGTTCCAAGTAGCCTTGAACTATGAAGATAGGGTTAGTCTTTACAAGTCACATTTTCTGTGAAGTGGCTGTTGGGGACAATCTTGGCTGTCAGATAAGTGTTTCTAAAGGAAGAATTACTGTTTAAATTGATGTGCCTCCTTGACAGAATGGGATCCCTAGTTCCTGTTAATTTCAGGAGGGAACTCTGTAGTATTATCTAAAAAGTCTTTCAGATTTATTTTAAAAGCGTTTACTTAAAGGCACCTTCTTTATGAAAAAGCAGAAGAGAAAGGCTATGGAGAATGAAATCGGGTTTATTATGCCTTTTATGGCCTATTAATTTGTTACCATCTATTCTGCTTTGTTGATGAAATTTTAATTTTGCCCTTGCTTGAGCATATTGTAAGATTTGTATAAACTGCAGCTCACTGTGCTAACAGAAAGGCTCTTTTAGGATGAACAATTGGAGCTCATTTTATTTCTAGAGGACATTTAAAATAACTTATGAATGAGAGTTGTCAGACATGAAATGCTGTATTAATTAAATCTTATTCTAGTCTTTTTGCTTCTCCAGCTAAACCAACCCTTTAGAAAAAAAAATACATGGCCACCTTAATTATATAGGAGAAGACAAAAAGTATCCTTCACATTCCTTCGTCTGAATAAGAATAAGAACTCAATTCATCTAAATAATAACCCCATTAGCTGCTTAACTCAACAGTGTACATGGGAAAATTTTCAACACAGAATGTAAGAAAGTGTTGATTGGGTGGATCGTTTTCAAGGGTTTGTTCCTCTGATGTTCAAAATGATAATTTTAAGTAAATCTGATCTGGCAGGGTTATCAGCTTTATACCATTTATGACTTAGGACAAAAGTGTGTGTTCATATACATGCTAATGCTTCTTTATCTTTTGAAATACAGCAACAATACCATTCAAAAATAGATGACTTGATTGAAGAAACTGTTAAGGAAATTATTTCTCTTCTTGTTTCAAAGGTAAAACTTTAGATTTTAATTTATAATAAAGCAGAAAATATATCTCTAATTATTGAACTTCTGAAATGTCTTTAAATATTACACAGTTTTTCTATACATGGTGAGATTGGAGAGGAGAACAACATGATTTGTAAATAATAGTCATGCAAATAATATTGAATTTACAAAATCAAATTTTATAACCCGTTAGGTAAACAATTTCTGTGTAACCTGCTAATCAGATAAGTTTGTCTTCTGTATTTCTGTTATAGATAAGAACTGCTAGCAGCTAGTAGAACTGGTAGGACTTGATTATGTCAATATTACCTTAAGTAATAGCATGTTTTATTTTTTGTTTAATTTTTCACATGAAAACTTTCTTCCTATCACTAAGTAGTATTTAAATTTTTTATTTAGAAGTGGACAACATCCAGAGTGTTGGTATAACTTTTTTATGAGATTTTGTTCCACAAATAGTTTAATTTAAAAATATTTTGTAAGTTGTTATTTCTTGAAATTGACTCTGTAGGTTTTTATATTTAAAAAGAAAATACATTTTGACACAATGTAGGGACTTGGAGAATAAGTGAAGAAAACTGAAACAATGTCTTGTGTTACTGTAGCACCTCTACTCCAGCAAAAGTCTTAAGTGCTTGATATAAAAGAAAAGCTTTCAGTCCCTAATAGTTTGAAGGACACAGCAAATAATGACAGAAAAGAAAGATTTTATAAGAAGTTTTATTGTCTATTCATTGCAAACTACCCAGAAATATTAGATTTTCAAAGTAGGAGAAATAAGCCATACATTTACCATTTGTGAGTTAGTGACAAAAAATAAGACTCTGGTCATATTGTCATCATGCTTTCATTTTCACTTGTCACAGCTTGCTGGCAGGGGCTGGGAGGAGCAGGTATCTCCTTCCAGATTGACACCATGCTTGCCCAGGAGTTGAAGAGGAAGGCTTTGTAGAATTATTGTAGAAGTTTAAGCAAATTGTGTCTACTTACTGATAAATGGGTAGAAACCACATATTTTTTTCTCTACAGTGAAGTTTTGATGTAAACATAACTACAAATCATTCAACTTGACCGTTTCGAGTTTTACATGCCACCTGTCACCACTCTGAACTAACCTGTCAGTCTACGTTTTTAGTGTTATTGAAGAGGAAGAAAGGAGAATTTAATCAGGGCAAATCATGCTATTGAAAGTTAAACCTTTTGATTAATATTTTCAATATCTGAGTTTATAGAAGAAGGAAGAAAATAATCATATTCTTCCTGGATATATCTACAAGAAATTCTAGAGACAGCTGCTGCCAATACGGAGGGATTTGCATTATTCGTTATCACATATACTATTACTGGAGGTTGAAATCTTGGAACAGGAAGCAAATATTCTGAGTCACTGGCTGATCATTAGAAGCTTAACCAGTCTCTCCTCACTTGAGACATGAAAAGCCGATGACATCCTGATTGCTTCTGTTTCAAGGCAGAAAGCCTCTGAGGGTACAGAGGAAGGCTGATGTTTCACTCCTGGTTTTGGCCAGGACAAATGCACATCAATGTGCATGATATCCATGTGTGTTCATTTTTTTCATCTAATATATTTTCATTATTTTTTAGCCTTTACCTCTGTATTATTTCCTTTGTGTTCCAGTGGAATAAGTATTTCAATCACTGTTTTTAGCTTCAAGTCATCTATGAAAATGAAGAGACTACTTTCACTTCAGTGAGACTTTACTTGGTAAAGACTGTACTGTGCGTTTTGTACGCAAGACTTACCACACTGAAACATTTAACAAATCACAGGAATAGCACAAAACAGTGAAACAAAGGACAGTATGTCTCAGGGTAACCAATTCCGAGAATGTCAGGTATACGCAGAAATGCTCTTAAAGCTTCACATATCCGTACACTGAGATCTCAGAAAACAAGTTTCCCACTTGATAACGAAGCCTTTCATTTAAACGGACATCCTTGACCCTGCCATGTTTTGCTTTCTGTTCTTTTGTGTCCCACTTGTATTGGGACCGTTTGTTGGCACTGTGGACACCATGTTGTTGGTGAGATCAGCCTTTTCCGTAGCAGATCTTTGCACAATAAGATTGAATACCTTTCTGCAGAAAGAATCCTGGCCAGCCAGATAACATGACTTAAAGTATGAACAGCAGCTTCTCACAGGCATGCAACGGCAAAGCAGAAAGCTTGTATTTGGTCTAATAAAGGGACTGTAATTATAATGTGCATGGGGCGCGGAAGCAACTGCCACTCTTTCTCATGATGTGGTTTTATTCCTTGATCGGCACCTACGTACTGGTGTCTTAATTAATCACTGTAAATATGACAGGTTAGATTGATAAATGACAAATGTAGGTTTGCACTTCCTCCTGCTCCTTGAACTGTTAAGAGCAGGGCTTATTGTAAAGTGATGATCTCGGTTCCTCTGGAGGTGACACTGTTGTGACACTGTTACAGTGCCCATTAACAGCATGCCAGATGGAATTTTGTTCTATCCTCACACTCATAAAATGATACTCGTGGTTGTGGGAATGACTGTGTTGGGAGCAAGGGATGACTTTTAAAACAATCTTTATATAAACTGGAAAGCAATTCATATGTGTAAAATAAATGCGCACAAATACGACGGCTGACGGATATTTTATGTTATGTACCATGAATTACTTGAGCAACGTAACATCACAGAGGGATGTGAGAAGGGGATTTGTTTGCTTTAAGGCTAATTTGAGGGAGTTTAAACATTAAGGCTATAATTAATGCAATTCATAAGATTTTTTTTTGTCAGAAAGAAATTTTTGGCAAAAATGCCTTTTCATGCCACTTGCTGAGGAGTCACACTACTCAGAGAATCGCAGGTGACAGTATGGGGCAGAGGAACCACACCACACCAGAGGCTTGGGGCATACATTTTCATGCCCCTTCTTGGCCACATCATGGCAATTCAAATGCAGAAAACTCTAGTGCTGTTACACTCTTGGGTGAAATCAGATCTGGGATTCTATTCAGTAGCAAAAATAAGAGAAACATGATATTGAGATCACCGCCTTTAACAATTGTGCTCCATCATCTTTGAAGCTGGGATCTTAGAAACTGTGGTCCTAGAAAATATCTGCCTGCAACACATGCTGGGTACACACACTCCTATATTTAACCATGCATTCTAGTGGCAGCAAAGTGGTGTTGGGTAGCAG